ACTCTCTGCTTTCAAGGGGCAGACACATAACAGACACATGGACACCCAGAGAATGCCTTTCTCTGCAATCAAGGTGGAGGAGTGGGCAGGGCTGGCGGGAAAAGGTAGGGTTTGCACTTAATCACAGCAATTACACTTCCCCAAAACATTTTTTTTAAAAGCCACAAAGGTCAACCGATCCTTCTCATCTGTTGGAAGATAGCAGGAAGTGCTGGAAAAGGCAAAGCCTTGAGTCTGCAGACCCAGCTGAGGACAGAGGTCAGTGGACACCCTTATTCTGCCAGGGAACTGCCAGCATTAACACTCTGTGCTTCCCAAAGCCATGTGGTGGGTGCCATGCCATCCATTCCCAGGCCACAGAGGAAGACCCGTGGGAGAGAGGATGAGATGTGTCCCAGGCTGCACAACTAGTCAGTGGAGCAGCAGACATTCAAATCCAGGGCTCTCAGCCATCAAAGCCTGTAGTTTTAACTGCCCTTAAGAATTGCCTAGAGGAACCTGCCTGCAGGGCTTGGGAGCACTGTTTGTTGGCCCCAGGCCAGCAGCAACTGGCTCTGGCCTGGCATCAAGAGAGCTCAGTACCCTGTGGCAGTATCTGCATCTGAGGGACAAGGATGGGGGGAACACAGGTCGGGGTCAGGAGGCCTGGCTCACATCAGGGCTCTGCTCCTACTGTAAGCTTTGGGCCCCTCATCTGTACATAGAGGGCAGGCCAGGCTGCCGGGGCCCTGCTCCCCTGGGCTCACCGCAGTAGGCGAACTTGAGGGAGAGCACACAGCTCTCGTGCAGGTGCAGCTGGTACTTGTCCGGCTTGGTGTGGTGCAGCACCTCCACATTGCTGCTTTCCATGCCCACGGCCAGCCACTCCCCAGTGGGGCAGTAACCCAGCGAGAAGATCTGCAGAGGAGGGGGCAGATGAGCTCAGTCTCCTCTACCCTCCAGATCCTACCACTCCTTCCCATCACCTCCCCACCTACCCTTTGCAAAGCCAAGCCTTCCTCTCCCTCAGCCCAATAGCTCAGGGGTGCCAGATGTCACTTTTCAATCCCATTTTATAGGTCAGGAAGTTGAGGCTCAGAGAGGTTGCTGACTCTAGATAGCAAGTAGGAGAGCTAGGATTCAAACTCAAGAGGTGGCACAGATTTTTTGCTTTCAAAAAGTTACTCTCTGCGACTTCCGCCTTTCCTTAAGAAAAAAGTGAGCAAATAAAACACTGAAATATTAAATATGTATGACTAAAATATTAAAATGAGTAATAAAAATAACAACAAAAAACCCTAATACCTAGCATTTACAGAATGGCTAAGGTTTTTAGAGGGACCATTTCAGGTGCTCACACCAGACTAGCTACTCTTATTCCCATCCCAGAAATGGGAAAACTGAGGCAAAAGTACTCAACAGTGGGGGAGCTGGGAATTAAATCTAAGCAATTGGGTCAAGTGTGTCCAATTCCAAGGCCTTGTGGATTCTATTTCATTGCTGCTTCCTAGATGGCTGAGGTTGGTGTCAAATCCATTTGCGATGACCACCTGTAAGGACCCCTTTGTCCCCTAACCCAGCCCACTGGGCTCTGGGAGGGAATATGCTNGTCTGTGAGACACATCAATGAGGGCCCCCGGGGCGGCACACGCCGGCGCCCTCCCAGCCTGCCACAGCACAGCCCGGAACGCTTGGCTGCTCCAGGGCCTCGCCAGCCGGGGCCCTGCACAGGATCTCCCTGTCACAGTTGAGTCTGTTTCTCCCAGAGTTTGACAGCCCTGTTAGAGTCCTTGTTTAGTAGATGACCTCATAAACCGTGGCCTTCTTGTCACCAGAGCCTGTTACAATATATTTGTCATCCGCCGAAATGTCACAACTCAAGACAGACGAGGATTCCTTAGACTAGAGAAGGAGAGACAGAAAGATGCAGGAAGGAAAAAAAGACAGGAGTCACTTTCGCTCCGCATCACTTCAGTGCTCTGAATTAAATATACTCCC